TGTAAGAAAACCAGGACTGAACCAGGACTAAACCAGGACTAAACCAGGACTAAACCAGGACTAAACCAAGACTAAACCAGGACTAAACCAGGACTAAACAGACTAAACCAGACTGACTAAACCAGACTAACCAAGACTAAACCAGGACTAAACCAGGACTAAACCAGGACTAAACCAAGACTAAACCAGGACAAACCAGGATAAACCAGACTAAACCAGGACTAAACCAGACTAAACCAGGACTAAACCAGGACTAAACCAGGACTAAACAGGACTAAACCAGACTAAACCAGGACTAAACCAAGACTAAACCAGGACTAAACCAAGACTAAACCAGGACTAAACCAGGACTAAACCAAGACTAAACCAGGACTAAACCAGGACTAAATAAGGACTAAACCAGGACTGAACCAGGACTAAACCAAGACTGAATCAGGACTAAACCAGGACTAAACAAGGACTAAACCAGGACTAAACCAGAACTGAACCAGGACTGAACTGGGACTAAGCCAGGACTAAATCAAGAGTAAACCAGGACTAAACAAGGGCTAAACCAGAACTGAACCAGGACTGAACCAGGACTAAACCAAGACTAAACCAGGACTAAACCAGGACTAAAGCAGGACTAAAGCAGCAGTGCAGGACTAAACCTGGACTACACCATGTCTCAACTAGGACTAAACCAGGACTAAAACAACTGAAACAAAAATATGGACTTTATAATTGTTCCTTTTTTCTCATCATTTCTGTCTCCCTCTCCTTCTTTTGCCTCTCTCTCTCCACATCTCCTCCTCCCCGCTCTCTCTCGCCTCCTCTCTCTCTCTGGTCTTGTTTTAGTCTCCGTCTGTTGTGTCTGAGTCACATTTAAACCTGTTTCATTCACAGTTTTTTAAATAAACCAAATATTCATCATTTGATGCACTTTTCACCTCTCCCTGTCTCTCTCTTTCTCTTCTTCCTCTCCCTGTCTCTCTCTTTCTCTTCTTCCTCTCCCTGACTCTCTCTTTCTCTTCTTCCTCTCCCTGTCTCTCTCTTTCTCTTCTTCCTCTCCCTGACTCTCTCTTTCTCTTCTTCCTCTCCCTGTCTCTCTCTTTCTCTTCTTCCTCTCCCTGACTCTCTCTTTCTCTTCTTCCTCTCCCTGACTCTCTCTTTCTCTTCTTCCTCTCCCTGACTCTCTCTTTCTCTTCTTCCTCTCCCTGACTCTCTCTTTCTCTTCTTCCTCTCCCTGACTCTCTCTTTCTCTTCTTCCTCTCCCTGACTCTCTCTCTCTTCTTCTCTCCCTGACTCTCTCTTCTCTCTCTCCCTGACTCTCTCTTTTCTTCTTCTTCCTCTCTCTCTGCTCTCTCTTTCTCTTCTTCCTCTCCCTGACTCTCTCTTTCTCTTCTTCCTCTCCCTGACTCTCTCTTTCTGCTCTTAAAAGTAACTCTGCATTTTTATGTTTTGTTAAACAGATTTTCATGCTTTCTGAGCACAGAGCCTCTTAACCCTGGTTTAATCTTGGTTAAGTTCTGATTAAATCGTGGTTTAGTCCTTGTTTAGTACTGGTTTAGTTCTGCTTTAAGTCCTGGTTTAGTCCTGGTTGGGATCAGAATTAACCATGTACATTATCTATATTTCAGAATTAACAACTCAATTTATATTTTGAAACTATCAAAAGTACTTAAAATGGCGCCATAAGAGGAAAATATAATGACTGACAAATACACAGCCTGAGTCTCTCAGTCTACACCTACATGAACTTAAAGCTGCACTGTGTAACCTTTCTGGAGCGTGTAATACTGTTCTGTTCCTCTGTGTGGTGCTGTTTGTAGACTCTATAGATGCATCACGAATTTCGGACTTTCGGTCATTTCCATCAATTTGTTGTTGGATGTTCTAACAGCGGAAAACGGCTCGAGAAATTTGTTTGCGAACTTCATAAGTAAGTAAATAAGTAAGTCTCTATTTCTATAGTGCTTTTCACAAACATTTTTGTCACAAAGACGCTTTACAGAGCATTACATTCAGCATTATTCATTCCCTCTATACCTGGTGATGGTAAACTACTATTGTAGCCACAGCTGCACTGGGGCAGACTGACAGAAGCGCGGCTGCCATACCAATCGGCACCAACGGTCCCTCCGACCACCACCACCACTCACACACACACCACTTTCATATTAGGCAATGTGGGTGAAGTGTGCCACTAGCACCAGTGCTAATCATTGATTGATTGTATTTTAACTGACCTTGACTATCAAATGTTCTGGAGACCTTTGTAGCATGTTTTGGAACTGCAAACTGCATAACTGCAAAAGGGAATCAGATGTGTGTGACTGCAAACCTCTGTTCAAACTGTTTCTCTTCCCAACGGAATTGAAAAATAATGAAAGGTGAAGGTGATGGGCAGGATTGATCCACAGGAAGAACCAAAAAGGAAACTTTTGGCTGCCTAAATCATCTCGAGTTTACAGCGAACATTTTGTATGTGGAGCGACAACAAAGCAAAATCCCGATCCCTCACTCAACCTCGGTTATGAATTTAAAAAGTCAACACCAAAGCGAAAGGTACCAACTGTTCACCAAGAAACAACTTCCACTGCAAAGAGACCAAGACGTGATGTTGCTGTAAAACCACAAGAACAAGAAAGTGCAGCTCAGTCTGTTTGTCCTCTGCTCCTCTCACTTAACAAACGGGATCTCGCTTTGATGACGCAATACTGCAAAATGTTTCTTAGACAGTCAAAGCTTTCATTTTTGGTAATTCCCATGGATCAATCCTGCCCATCACCTTCACCTCTCACTATTTTTCAATTCCGTTGGGAAGAGAAACAGTTTGAACGGAGGTTTGAGTCACATACATCTGATTCACTTTTGCATTTATGGAGTTTACAAACTTCTGAAGTCCGTTTCTCGAGCCGTTTTCTGCTGTTAGGATCCAACAACCACACAATTACGATGTCTGAATCCCAAAACTAAAATATGACAATATCAGAACCAGAAACAAAAGTGATATGGTTCAAAAGGCCTGAAAAGATTGACTTTGACAATAGACGCATCCCAAACAAACATGGCGGTTTGATCACTTGCTCACTTTGTCAGAAAATCCTTCCTAGTATGGATCGCACAATGACTGGAAGTCCGAGATTATTGATGCATCTATAGGAGCGTGTAATACCGTCCTGTTCCTCTGGGGGCGCTGTTTGTAGATTATAGGAGCGTGTAATACCGTCCTGTTCCTCTGGGGGTGCTGTTTCAGATATCGTACGTTCCTGAGCGAGGACGCCGGGCCGGATGCTCTGGTCGCCATCGTCCACGCCCACGACCCCGACGGAGACGCTGTGACCTACGCCATCACCGGGGGCAACGAGGACAGCAACTTCGTCCTGGACAGACACAGAGGTACAGGAGATTCAGAAAGGACACAGAGGGGACACAGAGAGGAGACACAGAGGAGACACAGAGGAGACACAGAGAGGACACAGAGGGGACAGAGAGGACACAGAGAGGACACAGAGGAGACACAGAGAGGAGACACAGAGGAGACACAGAGGAGACACAGAGGAGACACAGAGAGGACACAGAGGAGACACAGAGAGGAGACACAGAGGAGACACAGAGAGGACACAGAGGGGACAGAGAGAGGACACAGAGGGGACAGAGAGGACACAGAGAGGACACAGAGGGGACACAGGGGACACAGAGAGAACACAGAGAGGACACAGAGGACACAGAGGGGACAGAGAGGACACAGAGAGGACAGAGAGGAGACACAGAGAGGAGACACAGAGGAGACACAGAGAGGAGACACAGAGGAGACACAGAGGGGACAGAGAGAGGACACAGAGGGGACAGAGAGGACACAGAGAGGACACAGAGGGGACACAGGGGACACAGAGAGAACACAGAGAGGACACAGAGGGGACAGAGAGGACACAGAGAGGACACAGAGGAGACACAGAGAGGACACAAAGGAGACACAGAGGAGACACAGTGGGGACACAGAGAGGACACAGAGAGGACACACAGAGGAGACACAGAGGGGACACAGAGAGAACACAGAGAGGACACAGAGGGGAGACAGAGGAGACACAGAGAGGACACAGAGGAGACACAGAGAGGACACGGAGAGGACGCAAAGAGGATGCAGAGAGGACATAGATGGGACATAGAGAGGTCAAAGATTCAGAAAGGACAGACAGAGAGGACACGGGGGACACAGAGAGAGGACACGGGGGACACAGAGAGAGGACACGGGGGGGACACAGAGAGAGGACACGGGGGGGACACAGAGAGAGGACACGGGGGGACACAGAGAGGACACGGGGGGGACACAGAGAGAGGACACGGGGGGGACACAGAGAGAGGACACGGGGGGGACACAGAGAGAGGACACGGGGGGACACAGAGAGAGGACACGGGGGGACACAGAGAGAGGACACGGGGGGACACAGAGAGGAGGACACGGGGGGGACACAGAGAGAGACACGGGGGGGACACAGAGAGAGGACACGGGGGACACAGAGAGGACACGGGGGGACACAGGGGGACCAGAGAGAGGACACGGGGGGGACACAGAGAGAGGACACGGGGGGGACACAGAGAGAGGACACGGGGGACACAGAGAGAGGACAGAGAGGGACACGGGGGGGACACAGAGAGAGGACACGGGGGGACACAGAGAGGACACGGGGGGGACACAGAGAGAGGACACGGGGGGGACACACAGAGAGGACACGGGGGGACACAGAGAGAAGGACACGGGGGGACACAGAGAGAGGACACGGGGGGGACACAGAGAGAGGACACGGGGGGACACAGAGAGAGACAGGACACGGGGGGACACAGAGAGAGGACACGGGGGGGACACAGAGAGAGGACACGGGGGGGACACAGAGAGAGAGGAACGGGGGGGGACACAGAGAGAGGACACACGGGGGGGGACACAGAGAGAGGACACGGGGGGGACACAGAGAGAGGACACGGGGGGGACACAGAGAGAGGACACGGGGGGGACACAGAGAGAGGACACGGGGGGACACAGAGAGAGGACAACGGGGGGGACACAGGACACAGGAGGACACGGGGGGGACACAGAGAGAGGACACGGGGGGGACACAGAGAGGACACGGGGGGGACACAGAGAGAGGACACGGGGGGGACACAGAGAGAGGACACGGGGGGACACACAGAGAGAGAGGACACGGGGGACACAGAGAGAGGACACGGGGGGACACAGAGGAGGACACGGGGGGGACACAGAGAGAGGACACGGGGGGGGGACACACAGAGAGAGGACACGGGGGGACACAGAGAGAGGACACGGGGGGACACAGAGAGAGGACACGGGGGGGACACAGAGAGGACACGGGGGACACAGAGAGGACACGGGGGGGACACAGGGGACACACAGAGAGGACACGGGGGGACACAGAGAGGACACGGGGGGGACACAGAGAGAGGACACGGGGGGGGACACAGAGAGAGGACACGGGGGGGGACACAGAGAGAGGACACGGGGGACAAGAGAGGACACGGGGGGACAACAGAGAGGACACGGGGGGACACAGAGAGAGGACACGGGGGGGACACAGAGAGGACACACGGGGGGGACACAGAGACAGAGGACACGGGGGGGACACAGAGAGGACACGGGGGGACACAGAGAGAGGACACGGGGGGGGACACAGAGAGAGGACACAGGGGGGACACAGAGAGAGGACACACGGGGGACACAGAGAGAGGACACAGAGGGGGGACACGGGGGGACAGAGAGGACACGGGGGGGACACAGAGAGAGGACACGGGGGGGACACAGGACAGAGGACACAGGGGGACACAGAGAGGGACACGGGGGGGACACAGAGAGACACGGGGGGACACGGGGGGACACAGAGAGAGGACACGGGGGGGACACAGAGAGAGGACACGGGGGGGGACACAGAGAGGAGGACACGGGGGGAGAGAGGACACGGGGGGACACAGAGAGGACACGGGGGGGACACAGAGAGAGGACACGGGGGGACACAGAGAGAGGACACGGAGGGGGGGGACACAGAGAGAGGACACGGGGGGGACACAGAGAGACACGGGGGGCACAGAGAGGACACGGGGGGGACACAGAGAGAGGACACGGGGGGGACACAGAGAGAGGACACGGGGGGGAACACAGAGAGAGGACACGGGGGACACAGAGAGAGGACACAGGGGACACAGAGAGGACACGGGGGGACACAGAGAGAGGACACGGGGGGAGAGAGGACACGGGGGGGACACAGAGAGAGAGGACACGGGGGGGACACAGAGAGAGGACACGGGGGGGACACAGAGAGGAGGACACGGGGGGGGGGACACAGAGAGAGGACACGGGGGGGACGGGGGGACACAGAGAGAGGACACGGGGGGACACAGAGAGAGACACGGGGGGACACAGGGAGGACACGGGGGGGACAGAGAGAGGACACGGGGACACAGAGAGAGACACGGGGGGGACACAGAGAGAGGACACGGGGGGGACACACAGAGAGGACACGGGGGGGACACAGAGAGAGGACAGGGGGGGACAGAGAGAGGACACGGGGGGACACAGAGAGGACGGGGGGACACAGAGAGGACACGGGGGACACAGAGAGAGGACACAGGAGGGGGGGACACAGAGAGGACACGGGGGGGACACAGACACAGAGAGGACACGGGGGGACACAGAGAGAGGACACGGGGGGGGACACAGAGAGAGGACACGGGGGGACACAGAGAGAGGACACGGGGGGGACACAGAGAGAGGACACGGGGGGACACGGGACACAGAGAGGACACGGGGGACACAGAGAGGACACGGGGGGACACAGAGAGGACACGGGGGGGGACACAGAGAGGGACACGGGGGGACACAGAGAGAGGACACGGGGGGACACAGAGAGGACACGGGGACACAGAGAGAGGGAGACGGGGGGGACACAGAGAGAGGACACGGGGGGACACAGAGGAGGACACGGGGGGACACAGAGAGGACACGGGGGGACACAGAGAGAGGACACGGGGGGACACAGAGAGAGGACACGGGGGGGGACACAGAGAGAGGACACGGGGGGGACACAGAGAGACACGGGACACAGAGAGGACACGGGGGGGACACAGAGAGAGGACACGGGGGGACACAGAGGAGAGGACACGGGGACACGGGGGGACACAGAGAGAGACACGGGGGGACACAGAGAGGACACGGGGGGGAGAAAGGAAGAGGACACGGGGGGGACACAGAGAGAGGACACGGGGGGACACAGAGAGAGGACACGGGGGGGACACAGAGAGAGGACACGGGGGGGACACAGAGAGAGGACACGGGGGGACACAGAGAGGACACGGGGGACACAGAGAGAGGACACGGGGGGGACACAGAGAGGACACGGGGGGACACAGAGAGAGGACACGGGGGGACACAGAGAGGACACGGGGGGACACAGAGAGAGGGACACGGGGGGACACAGAGAGAGGACACGGGGGGGACACAGAGAGAGGACACGGGGGGGACACAGAGAGAGGACACGGGGGGGACACAGAGAGAGGACACGGGGGGACACAGAGAGAGGACACGGGGGGAGAGAGGACACGGGGGGACACAGAGAGAGGGGACACGGGGGGACACAGAGAGAGGACACGGGGGACACAGAGAGGACACGGGGGACACACAGAGAGGACACGGGGGACACAGAGAGAGGACACGGGGGGGACACAGAGAGGACACGGGGGGACACAGAGAGAGAGGACACGGGGGGACACAGAGAGGACACGGGGGGGACACAGAGAGGACACGGGGGGGACACAGAGAGAGGACACGGGGGACACAGAGAGGGACACGGGGGGGACACAGAGAGGACACGGGGGGACACAGAGAGGACACGGGGGGGACACAGAGAGAGGACACGGGGGGGACACAGAGAGGACACGGGGGGACACAGAGAGGACACACAGAGAGGACACGGGGGGGACACAGAGAGAGGACACGGGGGGGACACAGAGAGGACACGGGGGGGACACAGAGAGGACACGGGGGGGACACAGAGAGAGGACACGGGGGGGACACAGGATTAAGGTTTAACTCGTATAAATAAAAGCGTGACAGAGACTGAGAGGGACAGGAGGTGTAACGTGCAGTCCCTGTCCTCTCCTGTAGGGGTGATAAAGCTCCGCCGTAGCCCCGCCCCCTCTCTCTCCGGGCCGCAGTACGCCCTGAACGTCACGGCAACCGACGACAACGCGTCCGGCGGGCCACACCCCCTCAGCTCCACCGCACAGGTCCTGGTGGGAATCAACGACATCAACAACAACAAACCCATCTTCACACAGGTACTGGGTTAGACCTGGTTCAGTCCTGGTTCAGTCCTGGTTTAGACCTGGTTTAGTTCTGGTTTAGTCCTGGTTCAGTTATGGTTTAGTCCTGGTTTATTCTGGTTTAGTCCTGGTTCAGTCCTGGTTTAGTCCTGGTTTATTCTGGTTTAGTCCTGGTTTAGTCCTGGTTTATTCTGGTTTAGTCCTGGTTTATTCTGGTTTAGTCCTGGTTTAGTCCTGGTTTATTCTGGTTTAGTCCTGGTTTATTCTGGTTTAGTCCTTGTTTAGTCCTGGTTCAGTCCTGGTTTAGTCCTGGTTTATTCTGGTTCAGTCCTGGTTTAGTCCTTGTTTAGTCCTGGTTCAGTCCTGGTTTAGTCCTGGTTTATTCTGGTTCAGTCCTGGTTCAGTCCTGGTTTAGTCCTGGTTTAGTCCTGGTTTATTCTGGTTTAGTCCTTGTTTAGTCCTGGTTCAGTCCTGGTTTAGTCCTGGTTTATTCTGGTTCAGTCCTGGTTTATTCTGGTTTAGTCCTGGTTTATTCTGGTTTAGTCCTGGTTTAGTCCTTGTTTAGTCCTGGTTCAGTCCTGGTTCAGTCCTGGTTTAGTCCTGGTTTATTCTGGTTCAGTCCTGGTTCAGTCCTGGTTTAGTCCTGGTTTATTCTGGTTTAGTCCTTGTTTAGTCTTGGTTCAGTCCTGGTTCAGTCCTGGTTTAGTCCTGGTTTATTCTGGTTCAGTCCTGGTTCAGTCCTGGTTTAGTCCTGGTTTATTCTGGTTCAGTCCTGGTTTAGTCCTGGTTTATTCTGGTTTAGTCCTGGTTAATTCTGGTTTAGTCCTGGTTCAGTCCTGGTTTAGTCCCTTTAGTCCTGGTTTAGTCCTGGTTTAGTCCTGGTTTAGTCCTGGTTTAGTCCTGGTTTATTCTGGTTTAGTCCTGGTTCAGTCCTGGTTTAGTCCTGGTTTATTCTGGTTTAGTCCTGGTTCAGTCCTGGTTTAGTCCTGGTTTATTCTGGTTTAGTCCTGGTTCAGTTCTCTGTCTCAGTCTCATTAAAGTGTAACACTCAGATGAGCAGATCACACACACTGAGGGACTCTCCTCCTCCTCACGGTCGTGTCCTCATCAAAACTACAGTGTTTTATTTTTGTCTTTAAAACGTCTATTGTTTTACTTAAAATTATTATTTTTTTAAACCAAAATGTCAAAATGCTTAGATCTCCACAGCTCCCTGAAAACATGAGTATTACAGGAGAAGCGATGTTTGTAAAATCCCTCAGTCGTCCATGTAGGATCCACGGCAAAGAAGAAATTTGACTTGTCAACTGGACAAAAGTTTCTTTTGGGTGAATTTGTTTGTCAGCCCTGATGTAAAGTGTTTATTACATTTCTGCTCATGTCCTTGACACTGTGACTGGTTTTCGTTGTGTGTGCAGTGACAGTTTGTGTAGAGATGTTCTGTTTGTGTTTGTGTCAGTGTTCAGAGTACAGCGCTCAGGCCTCTGTGTTGGAGAACCAGCCCCCAGGAGTCTCGGTGCTGCGTGTCCAGGCCCAGGACGCCGACCTGGGCCAGAACGGAGAAGTGCACTACGGCCTCATGGAGAGAGACGGTGTCCAGTCAGGATTCAGCATCGACCCTCTGACAGGTGCTGCTCCTGCTCCTCTGTCTCTTCTCCTCTGTCTCTTCTCCTCTGTCTCTTCTCCTCTGTCTCTGCTCCTCTGTCTCTTCTCCTCTGTCTCTGTTCCTCTGTCTCTTCTCCTCTGTCTCTTCTGTCCTCTGTCTCTTCTCCTCTGTCTCTGTTCCTCTGTCTCTTCTCCTCTGTCTCTGTTCCTCTGTCTCTTCTCCTCTGTCTCTCTCCTCTCTGTCTCTGTCTCTGTTCCTCTGTCTCTTCTCCTCTGTCTCTGTTCCTCTGTCTCTGCTCCTCTGTCTCTTCTCCTCTGTCTCTGTTCCTCTGTCTCTTCTCCTCTGTCTCTTCTCCTCTGTCTCTTCTCCTCTGTCTCTTCTCTGTCTCTGTCTCTGTCTCTGTCTCTGTCTCTGTCTCTCTTCCTCTGTCTCTGTCTCCTCTCTGTCTCTTCTCCTCTGTCTCTCTCTCTGTCTCTTCCTCTGTCTCTGTTCTCTCTGTCTGTCTCTCTGTCTCTCTCTCTCTGCTCCTCTGTCCTGTTCCTCCTCTCTGCTCCTCTGTCTCTGTTCCTCTGTCTCTGTTCCTCTGTCTCTTCTCCTCTGTCTCTGTCTCTGTCTCTGTCTCTTCCTCCTCTGTCTCTCTGTCTCTTCTCCTCTGTCTCTGCTCCTGTCTCTGTTCCTCTGGCTCTGCTCCTCTGTCTCTGCTCTTACACTTTAGTTTTGTTTACGTTTTCAGGAGTCATCACAACAACGATGACCTTTGACCGCGAGCGTCAGAGGGAGCTCAGCCTGTCGGTGACGGCCACAGACCGAGGGGAGGAGCCTCTGATCGGCATCTGTGTCATCACCGTCGCCGTGGGAGACGAGAACGACAACACACCGCGCTTCGAAAACAGCCGCTACCAATGTGAGACGTCCTCGACCCTCTCTTCTTCTCTTCTGACCCTCTCCTCCTCTGACCCTCTCCTCTTCTCCTCTGACCCTCTGCTCCTCTTCTTCTCTGACCATCTCTTCTGTTCCTCTGTTCCTCTGTTCTTCTTCTCCTCTCTTCCTCTCCTGACTTTATAGAAGAGCGTCTAAAGCCTGAAGTGTCTGTTATTTTCAGAAGTGCATTGTCAGTAGAAGATTTCGTAGGAGGAAGCACTTTGTGTCTATAGCTCTCATGTTTTATGCACCAGGAACAACAGTAAAGGTTCAAAATAGAAACAATCCCATATCCCTGTGTGTCAGATGCCCTCCCGTCCTCCTCTCTCCCTGTGTGTCAGATGCCCTCCCGTCCTCCTCTCTCCCTGTGTGTCAGATGCCCTCCCAGATGTTGCACTGCAAATGTCTCTGATCTTGTCAAGATTTTAAAACTTATATCAGGTTATTCATGTTGTTTTCAGATTTATTATTGACTTACTCATTCTGAATTGATTGTAGAATCTTAAAAATGGTCACATATATTTCTTCCATGACTCAACTCGTCAGAAAATCTTAAATTTTGGCAATAACTGTTTAAAAAAGGCTACAGTCCATTTGCCTCAGTTTCCCCCTGAAACACTTCACTTGTTTTTAGATTCAGTGATACAGATTTACTTAATACTCAAGTTTGTTCACCTCTAAACTTATTTCCAGCTCATGAACACTTCTGGAGGTCGTTTATTTGAAGAGAACTTGTCAAGTAAAATGATCTCGCTGCATGGACACATCATTTCAACACTTTTAAGTCATTTTTTGGTTGATTTGACCGTTTAATCTTAAATTTTGGTCAGGCTTTTTAGCAGTGTGTGCTGTGGTTGACAGAAATGATCAGACAAAAAACATTTGTGGATTTGACTTTTGGAGTTGGAGAGAGAAAGAGCAGCTTCTGTAGAGATTATCCTCGCCCCATAAACGTCACGTGTGCATTATTTTTGACGTCTCAGTGACGGAGGGAAGGAGAAGGAGGGAAGGAGGAGAGAGAGAGAGAGAAGGGAGGGGGGTTGGGGGCAGGAGGAGAGAGAGAGGATGTTGGTGTTGGAGAGACAGTTTGATCGTCCTGTTTTATCAGCAAAATTCAGACACATTCATAAATTTGAACATTTCACAGAGAGAGGGAAGAGGGAGAGAATGAGAGATTACCAGGACGAGAGGTAGACAGATGGAGAGAGAGAAAGAAAAAGTGTGTGAGGGGGAGAGAGAGAACAGTGAGAGAGACTTAAGAGAGGGTGGGAGAGAGAGAGAAAGGAGACACTGACAGGGAGAAAAAGAGAGGGAGAAACAAATCGAGGCAGACGGGGGTAAAGAGAGAGGGAGGAGAGGAAGGTAAAGAGAGAAAGACAGAGATTCTCTGTGTGCTGAGGAGGCTCTGCTCTGATTTACTCTGAGTTTGATCCAAATCCGTCGACACAAAAGCCACAGTCTCATTTTACCTCACACACTGACACACACACTGACACACACACAGACACACAAACACACGCACACACATAGACTCTCACACACACACATATGCACACACACAGGCACACGCACACATAGACTCACACACACAAACACATACACACACACACACACACATAGACTCACACACACACACACACACCACACACACACACGCACACACACCATGCACACATACACGCACACACACACACACACGCACACACACCATGCACACATTCACGCACACACACACACAGACACACACACACCATACACACACACAGAAAAACACACAAAAACACACACGGACACACAGACACAGACTCATACAGACACACAGATACATATGCACACACACACACACACACACACACACACACACACACAGAGGTTGTTCTGTTTGAAATAAAACATGTGAAGTTAAAAACATGCAGATACACACTTACAGAAGCAGAAAAATATATGGCCTATGTTTTACGGATGCACCGATACCGATATCGATATTAAATGTCAGTGCCAGTTAAGGTCCTGCACGAGTCCATTTTGGGAGACCTGCTCCTGCCCAACCCCGCGCAGTACAGCACCACACACACCTGCACCCACGCAGTACAGCACCACACACACTGCACCACCGCACAGTACAGCACACACACACCTGCACCCGCGCAGTACAGCACCACACACACACCTGCACCCACAGCAGTACAGCAGCGCCACACACACCTGCACCCACACAGTACAGCCACACACACCTGCACCCGCACAGTACAGCACCACACACACCTGCACCCACACAGTACAGCGCACACACACACCTGCACCCCAGTACACACAGTACAGCACACACACACCTGCACCCACCACAGTACAGCACACACACACACCTGCACCGCACAGTACAGCACCACACACACCTGCACCCACAGTACAGCACACACACCTGCACCACACACACACTGCACCCACACAGTACAGCACCACACACACCTGCACCCGCACAGTACAGCACCACACACACCTGCACCCACAGAGTACAGCGCCACACACACCTGCACCCACACAGTACAGCGCCACACACACCTGCACCCACACAGTACAGCACCACACACACCTGCACCGCACAGTACAGCACCACACACACCTGCACCCACACAGTACAGCACCACACACACCTGCACCCACACAGTACAGCACCACACACACCTGCACCCACACAGTACAGCGCCACACACAGCTGCACCCACACAGTACAGCGCCACACACACCTGCACCCCCAGAGTACAGCACCACACACACCTGCACCCACAGAGTACAGCGCCACACACACTGCACCCACAGTACAGCCCACACACACCTGCACCCACAGAGTACAGCGCCACACACACCTGCACCCACAGTACAGCGCCACACACACCTGCACCCACACAGTACAGCGCCACACACACCTGCACCCACACAGTACAGCACCACACACACCTGCACCCACACAGTACAGCACCACACACAGTGCACCCACACAGTACAGCGCCCACACACCTGCACCCACAGTACAGCGCACACACACCTGCACCCCCAGAGTACAGCACCACACACACTGCACCCACACAGTACCAGCCCACACACACCCACCCACAGTACAGCACCACACACACCTGCACCCACAGTACAGCACCACACACACCTGCACCCACAGAGTACAGCGCCACACACACCTGCACCCACACAGTACAGCGCCACACACACCTGCACCCACACAGTACAGCACCACACACACCTGCACCCGCACAGTACAGCGCCACACACACCTGCACCCACACAGTACAGCGCCACACACACCTGCACCCCCAGAGTACAGCACCACACACACCTGCACCCACACAGTACAGCACCACACACACCTGCACCCGCGCAGTACAGCACCACACACACCTGCACCCACACAGTACAGCACCACACACACCTGCACCCACACAGTACAGCCACCACACACACCTGCACCACACAGTACAGCACACACACACCTGCACCCACACAGTACAGCACCACACACACCTGCACCCACACAGTACAGCGCCACACACACCTGCACCCACACAGTACAGCGCCACACCTGCCTGTTAACCAGTGATTATATCAAAGTTAAATCTGCACCCACTCAGACCCAATAATATTCCACCCGTTACATTCCAAATTAAAAACATTCTACCTGAAGCTCCTCAAACCATGAATGTTACTGGAGAAAATTGCCATGATCACTGCTGACATAGGCTTTAGTTTAAATAATGTAGCCCCTGTAGACGACTGAACACTCTGTGATTACCACAATTTGTACATTATAGTCTAATATATATGTACACTACCTGTCAAAAGTTTTAGAACACCACAGTTTTTCCAGTTTTTTACTACTTACTTACGTATTCTAAAGGTTTGATTGATGTGTGTGTCCACCTTTGTCAGACAGAACAGCTGAACACACTCGTGGCTCGTTGTTTTTACAATAGAAATCAAATATTGTTCAGAAAGTTCTTCCCAGGTCTGTTGCAGAAATTCCATAAATGTGTGGCACTTGTAGGTTGCTTCACTCTTCAGTCCTCAGCTCCATGAGGTTTAAGTCTGGACACTGTGCTGCTGCTGGACACTCCAGGTTTTCAAGTTTTATCATCTTGTTCTTTTTTCCTGAGGTCGTTTTGGCAGAACTTGGACTTGTGTTTTGTTCTTTTAACTTTACCTCTGTCTTACACATAATATATATATATATTATATATATATATATATATATATATATATTTATGTGTGTATATATATATATATATATATATATATATATATATATATATATATATATATATATATATATATATATATATATATATTCAGCTGACCCCCCTGTGTGTAAACACTACTCACCCGCACCCCCCGTAAAATTCCAGAATGTTAAAACCCGCCCACTTCAGCAACCATTTGTGGGCATCTGATGTGGTGCATGACTCTGGTGCCTGGTGTCTATGAACTTTCAGTATGTGGACATTTGTAATTGTAAAAAGTCTTTCAGAGGGATGCAGCACTCTTGAAATTATCAAGATATTGGAGTGTGATCACAGAACCATCAAACGTTTTGTCGTAAAGATAAAAAGAAAGAGATAAAAAGATAAAAAGAAAGAGAAAAACAACAAGAGGTTTGAGAATAAACAAACATGAAACTACTGTGAACCCATTATCCTCCAGCGCTGTCATAGTCCAGAACTGAAACTGACCTGAAGAGCCCAGAAGTACAAGATGTTCAGAGCTCAGAGATATGACCAAGGTGAGGAACACTGAAACCACCACCACTGAACAACAAACATGAGCTGAAACATCCAGGCTGGGCCTTTCTGGGTTTTATGGGCTGATGAGATGGTGGAGCAGATGGACGGACCCGTGCCTGGATCAGAAATGGGCCCAGAGCTCCACTTCGACTCAGATGCAGCAGGATGGAGGTGTGGTGCTGGTGTGAGCTGGAGTTATTAAAGATGAGCCTGATGGACATTTTCAGGTTGAAGATGAACTCAAAATAAACTCCAAAACCTACTGCCAGTTTTTACAAGACACTATCCATGGACAAACAGTGTAAGTAGATGTAATAAGACTGTTTTGTTGATGGTCGTAGTCAGCCCAGAAAGTCTCAGAATGTTTCAATGTTCTGTTGTTGCTACAGAGATGAATAAGAGCCACATCACACATTTAGTCAATGTGTTTTCAGTCTCTGCACTGGGATGGGTTAATATCGGGCATCGGCACTTACTTAAAGGACGTAGTATCAGTATCAGAACTGAAGGAGCCGGATCATTCATCTCTACTTATTATTGTGTTGTAGTAGTTGTTTATTTGAAGGTTGCTAGATTAATCCTCCTGCTCGTATTGTTTTGTTGTTTCTCTTTGCTCTTTGCTCTTTCATCAGATGCCCTCCCGTCCTCTCTCTGTGTGTCAGATGCCCTCCCGTCCTCTCTCTGTGTGTCAGATGCCCTCCCGTCCTCTCCTTGTGTGTCAGACGCCCTCCCGTCCTCTCCCTGTGTGTCAGATGCCCTCCCCTCCTCCTGAGATGGGGGCAGGTTAAATGTTTCTATATTCTCACACCTGAGTCTTTGTGTGTTCAGACTTCCTGAGAGAGGACACTCCGGTCGGGACTAGTTTTCTGCGGGCGGCGGCACACGATGATGACCAGGGCAGCAACGCGGCCATCACATACTCCCTGACCAATCAGAGTCCAGCTTACTTAGGGGTGAATCCCAGTACGGGCTGGATCTATGTCAACCACCCCATTTCACAGGTCAGAGGTCTGCCATCACTCCATCTCACAGCTGCACACACAAAACCAGTAGAGAGGCTGCTCTCTGCTCAAACACACTCTCCTGTTCATACTCTGCACTGACATCACCCTGGGGGTGTTCTTCAAGTATGTCTATGGCACAATGTTCAGCAGATACCAGGGTGACACATTAGCAAACACTGACAAAAAAGTTTGAAGATTGGCCCAATGAGTTTCATTTGATCTTCTGATAATTTGTTATTAGGTTCTTTTTTCAGACCAAGAGTTTGTTTCCATCCCTGACAGTTTGTTCTGTTCCCTGTGCTCTTCCTCAGAGTCTTGTGATGTTGCTGTGACGTGTTGATCAGTTGATTTAAACAGGTTTTGGTGCTGTCTTCTTCCCAGTGGAGGCAGGACGACAGCGCCACCTGCAGGTCCACTTCCTTAGGACAGTATCCCAGCTGTGTGAGAGTAAAAAGCCCCTCGTCCCAGTTTATAGTCCCATGAGCACTTTTCCGTATTTCAATTACCTCTTTAATCCAGCAACGATGTTTGTCGTCCTCTGTCTCAGTGATGTTTGCTCTGATTTGGCCGTTTGTGAAGCTGTAAAAGACAGAAGCACATTCTGGACTGGGACAGAGCAAACATCACTGGGACAGAGGAAAATAAACGTCGTCTCTGGATTAAAAAAGCAACTGGAATACTAAAAACATGCCCACGGGACAATAAACCGGGACAAGGGGCTTGTTACTCTCACACATCTGGGATACTGTCCTGCAGGTGGCGCTGTCGTCCTGCCTCCACCTGTAAAGACAGTGCCAAAACCTTTTTAAATGAGCTGAACAACACACGTCACAGTAACATCATGAGACTCTGAGGAAGAGCACAGGGAGCAGAACAAACTGTCAGGATGAAAACTCTTGGTATGAAACAAAGAATCTAATAACATAAATTTGAAGATTGTCTGAAAAGTTAAACTACAAAATGGATTTAAAGAGCACATTTTCAGGAGCCTGTGATCAGTGAAAGGGTCGAGTTTAACAGCACAGATCAGCTCACCTGTTCTAGATAAGTCAGCTCTTTATGGTCAGATTGTGTTCAAATAAAGCTTATATTAAAGTCTAATGAAGCTTCAGACAGAGCAGTACCTACAGTTAGCGTCACACCCCATGGGATGTTGATGACATCAGCTGTAATGTAGGTTATCTCTGAGTAATGGGTGGAGATGACCAATCACAGTGAAGTAGAGGACTTTTGAGAGCTCACAATGACAACAGGTACAGTCTCCTGTACAAATCCATGTACTACTAGTATCCAAACTACATCCTCATTTGAGCTGGTATCAATACTAAAAAATCTCATTAACAGGACAGAGCAGAACCTTTCCTGAAAGTCTTTAAAATGATGATGAGCTGTATCAAGTAGAAGAACACATAGACCAGACATGTCAAACTCAGGCCTGGGGGCCAAATTTATCCCGCGATATAATTATATTTGGCCCGTGAGATCATATCAAATATGTATTAGAGCTGCCCGCTGGCTACAGATCGACTATAGAGACATGATTTATTTAAAGTGTTGTTATTATTTTATATTTTGCTTGTTCTGGATTCAATGTTTAAGCAAAACTATTATTAAACATTTATTTTAATAAGAAAAGGTTTAACATTACTTATCTCAAAAGAACAGAAAATACACAGATGTTGTTAAAAATTTTCAATGAATATTTAGTTTGGCCCACGACTTAGTCCCAATTTTTAATGTTGACTCTCTGTGAATTTGAGTTTGACACTCCTGACATAGACTGTACTCCCATGGACACTACGAACCTACTGCACCACTGAAGAGTACACACACACACACACACACACACATATATATATATATATATATATATATATATATATATAGTACACATTATATAAGAGGGATGTAACAATAACTGAAATATCATGATATTGTATCAACAAAGTTCTCACAATAATATCATGGACCATCACAATATACTGTATCAATTTACAAGTCTCTTTGCTTAAATGATGAGTTAAGGTGCAGTAATAGCTAAAAAAAGACAGAGGGAACAACATAGACCATGATCCTTTGCTCTGTTTCAGTGCAGACTACAAGAAGAAATAACAGTTCTAACAGTTTTAAGTCTTAGTTCTTTGGATTAAGTCTTGTCAAGGCATTTGAAGAGGAAAAAGTAGAATATGAACAGTTTTAGCCTCCACAAAATATCACAATAACATCATAGTGTGAGATGTGTATTGTGAAAATATCACACAGAGAGATTTAGATATTGTTACATCCCTAATCGTGAGGCTCTCCCCCATATCGTGAGCTTTCCCACAATATCATAATAAATATCGTACTGTGAGGTTCGTACTGAGACGATATGGTATCATGAGACTCGTTGCATCCCTACTATATAATCTATAGTATATGGTATAGTGATGTGTCATTTTTGAAGTCGTGAGTGGATGAAGTGACAGTGGTGGAGAGGTCTGACTCTCTGTATCCTGTGGAACATGTGTTATATAAAAGTCTTATATAAAGTTATCGAGCGCAGCACAGACGGACGGAACAATACAATCCATATGATCTGTCCCTGTGTGTGTGTGACCACGACACACACTCCAGCCTACAGGACGACAACACACACACACGGGGTCAGAGCCAGCTCAGACCTGGTCCAGTCCTGATCCAGTACTGGTTTAGTCCTGGTGTAGTCCTGGTTTAGTTCTGGTTTAGACCTAGTTCAGACTTGGTTTAGTCCTGGTTTAGTCCTGGTTCAGACCTGGTTTAGTCCTGGTTCAGACCTAGTTCAGACTTGGTTTAGTCCTGGTTCAGTCCTGGATTAGTCCTGGTTTAGTCCTGGTTTGGGCTGAGTTTAGGCCTCTTTACACCATTTCTACATGGATTTACAGCAGAGCAGTTGCCATGGCAATTAACAATTTTACATCATCTTTTTAACTGGGTACAAAAAATGGCACTTATAAAAAGAAAGTCTAAACTAATGCAAACTGCTGATTTAGTCCTGGATCAGTCCTGGTTCAGTCCTGGTTCAGTCCTGGTTTAGTCCTGGTTTAGTCCTGGTTTAGTCCTGGTTTAGTCCTGGTTTAGTCCTGGTTTAGTCCTGGTTTAGTCCTGGTTTAGTTCTGGTTTGGTCCTGGTTTAGTTCTGGTTTAGTTCTGGTTTGGTCCTGGTTTAGTTCTGGTTTAGTCCTGATTTAGTCCTGGTTTAGTCCGGTTTAGTCCTGGTTTAGTTCTGGTTTAGTCTCCTGGTTTAGTCCTGGTTTAGTCCTGGTTTAGTCCTGGTTTAGTCCTGGTTTAGTCCTGGTTTAGTCCTGGTTTAGTCCTGGTTTAGTTCCTGGTTTAGTTCCTGGTTTAGTCCTGGTTTAGTCCTGGTTTAGTCCTTGGGTCCTGGTTTAGTCCTGGTTTAGTTCTGGTTTAGTCCTGGTTTAGTCCTGGTTTAGTCCTGGTTTAGTCCTGGTTTAGTTCCTGGTTTAGTCCTGTTTAGTCCTGGTTTAGTCCTTTCAGTTTGGTTTAGTCCTGGTTTAGTCCTGTTAGTTCCTGGTTTAGTCTGGTTCAGTAGTCTGGTTTAGTCCTGGTTCAGTTCTGGTTTAGTCCTGGTTTAGTCCTGGTTTAGTCCTGGTTCCTGGTTTAGTCCTGGTTTAGTCCTGGTTTAGTCCTGGTTCAGTTTTCTGGTTTAGTCCTGGTTCAGTTCTGGTTTAGTCCTGGTTTAGTTTTGGTTCTATTGTGTCTTTTGTGAGTTTTTCCGTTTTTTGCTCAGATTTGAATATTCATGAGTCACAGCTGGAACATAAATGATTCACACCAGCCTGTTTACAGAGAGAGAGAAGAGAAGAGAGACAGAAGAGGAGTGGAGAGGAGAGGAGAACAGAGAGAGAGAGAGAGTAAGAGAGGGAGAAAAGCGACAATAACTCTGCAGAGAAAGAGAGGGAAAAAGAGAGCGAGAGGGGAACAACTGAGAAGAGAGGGAGAGAGAAAGGAGAACAAAGGGAGGAGAGGAAGAGAACAAACAGAGAGAGAGAGAGAGGAAGAGAGAGAGGAGAGTGGGGGGGTAAGAAGGGAAAGAAGGAATAAAAAGAGAGAGAGAGGAGAGGGAGAGACGAGGGAGAGAGGGAACACGTGGAGGGAAGGGGGGATGGAGGCGGTAGAGAGAGAACAGAGAGAGGGAGGGAGTAATAGAGGGAGAGAAGGGACAATAATTACACAGAAAAAGAGGGAAAAAAGAGGGGAAAAAGAGGAGGGAGAGAGGGGAACAAACAGAACAGAGAGAGAAGAACAAAAGGAAGAAGAGAGAGAGGGAACAAACAGAGAGAGAGAGGGAGGCAAGAGGGAGGGAGGAAGAGAGAGAGAAGAGTGGGGGGACAAAAAGAGGGAAGAGAGGACCAACAGTGAGAGAAAAGAACAAATTGAGAGCGAGAGGGGAGAGAGAGGGAACAAAAGGAGCAAAAGAGAAGGTAAGAAAAGAAAAGAGAGGAGGGCGAGATAGACACAAAGAGGGAGAGGGGGAGAAAGAGAGAACAGATAGAGGGAAAGTGAGAGAAGCAGCAGAGAGAGAAGAACAAAGAGAGTGAAAAAGCAGAAGGAGAGAAAGTGAATAAACAGAGAAAGAAAGCGCAGCGAGAGAGAAAAGGAAGAGGGAGGTAGGATAGCGGGAAGAAAAAGAGAAACAGAGAGAGGGAGAGGGGAGAGAGTGAAGAACAACTACACAGGGAGAGGGCACAAAGAGAGAAAGAGAGAGAGAGAGAGAGGAACAAACGCAGAGAACAAAAGCAGAGAAAGAGAGAAAAGAATGAGAGAAAAAAGGGAGGTAGGGGGGAAGACAGAACAGATAGAGGGAGAGAAAAAGAGGGAGTGGGGAAGGGGTAGGAGAAAGGGAACAAAAAGAAAAAGAGAAGGGAGAGAGAAAGAAAAGACAAGACTGGGAAGGACAACCAGAGAGAAGATCAGAGAGGAGGAGAGGAAACCAAAGGGGGGAAATGATAAGAGAGA